CATGTATGTATAACAAATATAAATGTTACATGGTCCAATCACATGTATGTATAACAAATATAAATGTTTCTGGTCCAATCACATGTATGTATAACAAATATAAATGTTTCTGGTCCAATCACATGTATGTATAACAAATATAAATGTTACTGGTCCAATCATATGTATGTATAACAAATATAAATGTTTCTGGTCCAATCACATGTATGTATAACAAATATAAATGTTTCTGGTCCAATCACATGTATGTATAACAAATATAAATGTTTCTGGTCCAATCACATGTATGTATAACAAATAAAAATGTTACTGGTCCAATCATATGTATGTATAACAAATATAAATGTTTCTGGTCCAATCACATGTATGTATAACAAATATAAATGTTTCTGGTCCAATCACATGTATGTATAACAAATATAAATGTTTCTGGTCCAATCACATGTATGTATAACAAATATAAATGTTCTGGTCCAATCACATGTATGTATAACAAATATAAATGTTTCTGGTCCAATCACATGTATGTATAACAAATATAAATGTTTCTGGTCCAATCACATGTATGTATAACAAATATAAATGTTCATGGTCCAATCACATGTATGTATAACAAATAAAAATGTTACTGGTCCAATCACATGTATGTATAACAAATATAAATGTTTCTGGTCCAATCACATGTATGTATAACAAATAAAAATATTCATTGTCCAATCACGTGTATGTATAACAAATAAAAATGTTACTGGTCCAATCATATGTATGTATAACAAATATAAATGTTTCTGGTCCAATCACATGTATGTATAACAAATAAAAATGTTACTGGTCCAATCACATGTATGTATAACAAATATAAATGTTCCTGGTCCAATCACATGTATGTATAACAAATATAAATGTTACTGGTCCAATCACATGTATGTATAACAAATATAAATGTTTCTGGTCCAATCACATGTATGTATAACAAATATAAATGTTCATGGTCCAATCACATGTATGTATAACAAATATAAATGTTTCTGGTCCAATCACATGTATGTATAACAAATATAAATGTTTCTGGTCCAATCACATGTATGTATAACAAATAAAAATTGCTAATATTTAAGAATTAAGAGATAAATGCACCTGCTTTTCCTTGTGACAGATTTTGGTTAATTTTGATTTTCATTAGTTGCCTCCTATGTTTCAACTCATTAGTATTGAAGCATTACTAACATCAGAAGGACTAAACAGCTGTTTGAGGCAGTATGATTCATTATTTGACTCTACTGCATCTAAATGGGAACTTTGTAAAATACTATAAAGCAAGACAAGAGAAGGATTAAAAAGATGAATAAAGATCAATTTTACATGGAATCAATAAGGATCATACAATGGTGATTGAGCTCCAATGTCCCTTTTGGTCTGGGTTCTCTTGTTCTAAACCTGTGAAGCTCTGAGAATCCATGGAGATAATCCTTGAGGATAATCCATGGAGAACCCTCTTGCATGGTCTTGTTGCATGTTGTTGTAATGGTGTTTGTGGAAACTGTCACATGTATGACACTTCCATGTGTATATACCAGTTGGCTATTAAAACCTGCTCTATTCTCTTTAATGTGACAGATCACATAGAATATTATAAAAGGTACTCAGATAGATTTACTTGTGCATTGTCTATATGTGGTTTGATATTTAACAAAAAACAGACTTCATCATTTATCAGAAAGAGAATCAGTGGCATGTGAAAATCCCCAGATTCCTGCCTCATGTAAACATGCTGTAAATAAGTAGAGAATTCTTCTTCATATTTCTCTTTTGTCTTTCACTTTCAATGGACATTTGTGAAAGAAATGAGGTTTCATGATTGTTTCAGAAATGTACAAATTGTCAAGAAGGTTGAAGTTATTGATATTTAGTAGTCTAAGACAGCTTAAACTAGCAGATTTGCTAACCTCAATCTTTATTTCTCAGACCATTTATCTCCTGGAAAAAATCCTGTTTGGTAGGACATAACTATTCCAGGTCTATATAGAGTTTCAAACCATAAGAGGTTACCTTGATTTAAGTCAAATTAATTATATATTTTGTTACTGAGTAACCCTAAAAGGAGTTTGTGTGAGAAAGAAAAGAAATGGAATACAGATGTCTTATCAGTAGAATGATACCATTGATATCTTTACAAATGATAAAATTATCAAAATATAACCAAATGCAGAAGTTCAGTTTGTTGACTTATCTGTACAGTGATTGATGAGTTTTATTTATCTTTTCAGTGATTGGTGGGTTTGATTTATCATTGCAGTGATTGGTGGGTTTGATTTATCTTTGCAGTGATTGGTGGGTTTGGTTTATCTTTGCAGTGATTGGTGGGTTTGTTATATATTTGCAGTGATTGGTTGGTTGGTGGGTTTGATTTATCTTTGCAGTGATTGGTGGGATTGATTTATCTTTGCAGTGATTGGTGGGTTTGGTTTATCTTTGCAGTGATTGGTGGGATTGATTTATCTTTGCAGTGATTGGTGGGTTTGGTTTATCTTTGCAGTGATTGGTGGGTTTTATTTATATTTGCAGTGATTGGTGGGTTTGGTTTATCTTTGCAGTGATTGGTGGGTTTGTTATATATTTGCAGTGATTGGTTGGTTGGTGGGTTTGATTTATCTTTGCAGTGATTGGTGGGATTGATTTATCTTTGCAGTGATTGGTGGGTTTGGTTTATCTTTGCAGTGATTGGTGGGATTGATTTATCTTTGCAGTGATTGGTGGGATTGATTTATCTTTGCAGTGATTGGTGGGTTTGGTTTATCTTTGCAGTGATTGGTGGGTTTGGTTTATCTTTGCAGTGATTGGTGGGTTTGGTTTATCTTTGCAGTGATTGGTGGGTTTTATTTATATTTGCAGTGATTGATGGGTTTGGTTTATCTTTGCAGTGATTGGTGGGTTTGGTTTATCTTTGCAGTGATTGGTGGGTTTGGTTTATCTTTGCAGTGATTGGTGGGTTTGGTTTATCTTTGCAGTGATTGGTGGGTTTGGTTTATCTTTGCAGTGATTGGTGGGTTTGGTTTATCTTTGCAGTGATTGGTGGGTTTGGTTTATCTTTGCAGTGATTGGTTGGTTTGGTTTATCTTTGCAGTGATTGATGGGTTATTTTATCTTTGCAATGATTGATGGTTTTGATTTATCTGTGCAGTAATTTCCTTGTGTAATAGATATCTGCTCTCAGTCAATATCATGTGCTGAAATGCATTGATACAGTCGGTGGCATGTCCATCCCACATCTGTCCTGTCTATTCTGCCTTTGTGTCAGAGTATTTGGTGTGTTTTAGATGACAGAATGGATGTCCATGTTGAAGTGACTTAATGTTGTTAAGAAGTGTTTTTTTTAATTGATATGTTTTAATGCTAAAAATCTTAGGAATAATTTTCTTGTCTTTCAATTTGAGTTTGTCTTTGTCTGCTTTAAATTGTCGGCGCAGCAGACATGTGTAACAGCACGTGATGGTTCAATGTATTTAACTCTGTACATAGCTGGACTTTTTCATTGCTCTGAGAGCTGTAGAACTTGTGTACTGTTCTGTATAACAAAGCTAAAATCCAGCAGAATACAAATTGTATATGAGTAGATATTGTCAGTATTTGACCTAATTCAAATAATCTGTAATATTAAAGATGAATAGTAAAGCTAGTCCATAGATTGGTGTCAAACTATAGTATCAGTTTTGCTGCCTTCTTTTCATTGTTCTCATTGGTGTTTTCAAGATGATAAATTGACTTTCTCTCATCAAATGTATCCATATTTATATGTTGACTTTGCTCATTTCATTGATTGTATCCATGGCGATGTGTTGATTTGCTCTCATTGGATGTATCCATGGTGATTTGTTGTTTTTCTCTCAATGGTTGTATCCATGATGATGAGATAACTAACTGGCCTTGGCTACATACATGTTGATGAGTTGATTTGCTCTCATTGACTGTGTCCATGATGATGAGTTGAATTTTTGTGACCCCAGATTGAAAGATTGAGGGTACATCATTTTTTGTGCTGTTTGTTTGTCTGTTGCCAACTTCAATCTTGTCCATAATTATTGCACTGGCAGGGCTTTCATATTTTGCATATATCATGACTTCCTTTCATTGGCTGTATCCATTGTGATATGTTGACACCTATGTTGACTTCCTTTCATTGGCTGTATCCATTGTGATATGTTGACACCTATGTTGACTTCCTTTCATTGGCTGTATCCATTGTGATATGCTTTCATTGGCTGTATCCATTGTGATATGTTGACACCTATGTTGACTTCCTTTCATTGGCTGTATCCATTGTGATATGTTGACACCTATGTTGACTTCCTTTCATTGGCTGTATCCATTGTGATATGTTGACTCTGTGTTGACTTCCTTTCATTGGCTGTATCCTTTTTGATGAATTGACTCACTGTTGTTAGCTATATCCTGTGTGATGTGTTGACAGTATTTTGTTGGCTGTAACCATGGTGATGTATTAAGACTTGCTCTTATTGACTGTATCCATGGTGATATGCTGACATGCTCTTTTTGAGTGTGTTCATAGTCCCAAGTTAACAATTCAATTGTCTGAATTCATGGTGAAAAGGTGATTTTTTGGCTGCTTTCATTTTTTTTCTGTCTCTGCGTTGTATAGTTTTTTTCTGATATCATTGGTCGATGGCATGTTCAGTTTGGAAATTTAATGTTTTCCTAAGCAAAATAAGGTTGTTAGAAAAACTTATTAACCAACATTCCAAATTCTTTAAACATATGAAAGCCTTCAACGAAATATCTAAAGATCTCTTTTTTTCAAAATGATAAACTAGTTTGAGTTGTTCAGTGTGAGAAATTCAGGGTATTTTTAGCAGGAGGAGATAATTAACCTGAAATTTCGCGGGGTTGTAGTGGGCAGCAGCAATAGAAAAGCTAGAAAATTGGCTCGCAAGTTAATTGTAAACCAAAACTTGTGTTCTCATTTTTTTTTCTTTACTTTACAGTTAGAGAAGCTAGGAACTTAATACCAATGGACCCAAACGGCCTAGCTGATCCATATGTGAAGGTCAAAGTGATTCCAGTTGAGTCCTCAAAAGGAAGCAAGCAGAAGACCAAAACACAAAAAGCAACACTTAATCCTGTTTGGAATGAATCATTTAGCATGTAAGTTACAAGCCTGTTAGGACAAGATATATTTCAGGTCGAAAACCATTATTGTATTTTCAAAATTTAATGAGCAGTTCCAGTATTTAACCACAAAAAATGTTCCCATGCTTTACATAATTGCTCCATAATTTTCTTTTCTGTCAGTGTTTTATCCTTTTAATGAAATTTACCTGTTTAACAAATGATGTATTTTATTGTCTAATTTAATTATTTAAAACTTTTGAAAGTTTATGCAATCTTCTGTTGTTTTTTTGTCCAAATTACTGGTACTGATTAGTTCAAATAAGCATGGTTGTTAGTGCATGTGTCCTTATAATTCATAAAAACTATCTGAAGCTCATAAATACCTTAAGATATTTAAATCTAAAATCAATTTATTATATCCTGATTTTGTACATGGAGTAAAGAAAGACATTAATTATGGCTAGGTGAAGTGCATTTATATTAAAGAAAGAAATAAAATCAAATAGGAATTGTTTTAGAATGGTTTCCTCCATTCCTAAATGTGATTTGAAAACATCTCTCTGGGAGATCTCTGTAAGCCATTGACAAATCCATACATTAAGAGAATATTGATTTTCAAAGGATTGAAATATTTTATTTTAAAAACTATGAAAGGTGAGAAGAAGGTCTCCTCACTAGTGATCGAAGGTGTGAATTTTACATTGAGGGAAGGAATGTGTTTGGATATTTTGGTTTATACCAACAGATATGCCAGGTTTAAATCATTCCATTTAAGAGTACATGATGAGTAGTCAGTGTCTGGAATAACTGTGAGACTTGATGATGATGATGATGATGATGATGATGATTGCTGTCCTGTTAGAACTTGAACTAAGGATGAATTGTATTAACCAAAAGCCTTGAAGTCTTTTCCTGACAGAATAAATAAATTCAAAAAATTCCATCCTTCTATATGTTAGCAAAGAGATGAGTAACATTATATCACCTCCATGCCATATATGGGCAAAGTGTGATCTCCACTCCTTATTTGGATGTACATCACCAGATGGAAAGGGTACAACACCTTCCTGCATCATTTGAACTTGGTATCACTAATCTTATATTGGTGTCCTCCCAATCTTTACTTGATTTTGGCATAGTGCAGTCTCTAATTAAGGGTATTTGGGTGAGGCATCATCATCATCCCTGCCTTATTCAGATCTGGTGAAAAACCACCATGCTGTATTTGTTACCTATTGGTGAAGCTGGTGTTGAGGGAGGTGAGAGCAATTGATTAGCTATCTATCATTATTTTCATGTCAATATTTGTCAGCACTCAAGCAGCTTCTTTCCTTACACAATTTTGATCGAACTTCACACACTTACAAAATAACCACATTGTCTTGGACAAGTTCAGTTTTCAGGATTGTTAGGTCAGCGTCAATAAATAATGAAGAGGTTAGAACATTGGCATTGGATTTTTTTTGTCAGCACTCTTGCAGCTTCATTCCTTTCACAATTTTGATCAAATCTCTCACACTTACAGGTGACCATATTATCTTAAACAAGAGAAAGTTTCAGGGTTGTTTGGTCAAGGTTAAGTTAAGAATACTATTAGAAAATCATTGTCAGTTAACAAGAGACTTCACTCTCTGGGGGATCAAACCTCACACATATATAAATACCACACTATCATGGACAAAAAAAATCCAATGCCAATGTTCTAACCTCTTCATTATTTATTTATTGCATATTACATTAAAATCAGTTACAAACTAAATATATCCTTTTGTTTTTTTTCCAAATCAACACCAAACAGCTTTATAAATGATTACAATGTAATAGCTTGAAGGGGCCAATAGGGAACATGTGTTGCTAAAGCAATAATCATTATTTATGCTTGTTTGAATAAAACATCAACTCTATTCATTATGTATGTTGTCACCTCTAAATGAAGTGATTCTCTTTAATTATCACGAGGTAATCTCATCAGAATGCCAGCAGTTAAAGCCTGACCTTGTTGCACTGACAAGAGACCTCCCTGTATGTCCTACACAAGAAAACAAGCTACTGCATGACTTTGTGTTATGTAGGAGGCTTCAATATCCTGACACTTCTAAAGCTTTGTCTGCTAAAATAGTCAATTAACAGCTCTCTAAAGTACGCTGGGATCATGTTTTCTAGATATTGGTGACATCACAACAATACAATTCTCATTCAAGATTTATGCTTTTGGCACATATTGAAATCTTTAGTCAATTCATCATTGTTTACTATTTTTAACAGTTACTGATCTGTAACATTGGATAATAAGTGTCCTTTGTTGATATGATTTCAAAGCATAAATGTGTTATTGGGTTTATACCACAGAATGTTTCTGAAATATTTATCAAGTGGTCATTAAAATCATGTGTTTCATCACCGTCCAGACAGCACTTATCACATGCTGGTAGTGGTTGTATTTGCGTAAATGACTTGTCAGCAAGCTCTAAGTCTTCACTTCATGTGACATAAAGACTTGGCCCATGCTTTGATGCTTGCCACTGCAGCATCGCCATCAGTGCTGCTGTTAATGTGAATTTGTGACAAACTGTTGTAGGACGTTACTGTAACTGTCAGACAGTTTAATCTGTTTTCATTACATTCATGCAATAAATTATTTTTATTTGATCATTTCGAATATAACTATAACGCAGATCACATTTTGAATTATTCACCATGATTTTTATGTAATAGCCACCAATTCTAACTCTCTAAATTAACGATGGCATGAATAATTCAGCTTTGGACTGGAAAAATTGATGTTTCCCAGAAAGTTGACAAAATCTGGTGGGAACTGAATTATTAGAGATCAGTGCACCGTTTCTGGAATGAGGCTTTGAAGTCATTCATATCAAAATGCCCAGTTGGACGTTTTTTTATCAATAAAATTTATATTGTAAGTGTAATATAAATGGAACCTTAACATACTGAAGGTTCAAAGGCATTCCGTCAAGACTTCTACAAATCCCTTGAATTCTGCCATGTATAGATTTTTACACCAAATTTTGGATTCCTGATCTATTAGGTATAGCTTTTGCTCACGGCAAAAGGAAATTTGCTACTGATACTATTATATTGTACCAATTTTATATTCTCATCTTTTTCCAGGCAACCTGTCATTAATTATCAGTTGGTGGCTTTAAGTGTGTACAGGAAATTTTGTTTTAAAGAACAGAAGGAAAGGTACCTTTGGGAAATCTCTAGCAGTCCTTAATAAAAGCTGAAAAAACAAACCATCTGTTCTATAGACAATTTCTATTATCTTGTGAGGTGGGTAAAGAGATATATATTATGAAATATAATTGATTATTAGATATTGATGTTAAAATGTTTTACTAATTGCTTAAGGAATTGATTATTTAATGTTGGGGTAGGAATGTACATCAAGATGAAGCTAAATATCTACCAGTATACAGTGGTCTGGTTGAGATATACACATCTCATGGGAAATGTACAGGCTTTTCATGACGTAGAGCTTGAAACAACCTAACTCCACAATCACTATCACATCTACTTATTGACAATGGTGGATAGTGTCTGTGAAACAGGATGGAGAGTGATGTTTTTTTGACATTTTTTCTAATCTTATTTTTTTTTGTATGTTTATTTTAGCCACTATTGGTCATGTAATCACATGTTAGCTGTATTCTGTCAATGTAAAAATAATGTTACATGAACATTGTTGTAAAAGTGATGTTACCTGAACATTGTTGTAAAAGTGATGTTACATGAGCATTGTTGTAAAAGTGACATTACATAAACATTGTTGTAAAAGTGATGTTACATGAGCATTGTTGTAAAAGTGATGTTACGTGAACATTGTTGTAACAGTGATGTTACATGAGCATTGTTGTAAAAGTGATGTTACATGAACATTGTTGTAAAAGTGATGTTACATGAACATCGCTGTAAAAGTGACGTTACATGAATATTGTTGTAAAAGTAACGTTACATGAACATTGATGTAAAAGTGATGTTACATGAACATTGTTGTAAAAGTGATGTTACATGAACATTGATGTAAAAGTGATGTTACATGAACATTGTTGAAACAGTGATGTTACATGAACATTGTTGTAAAAGTGATGTTACATGAACATTGTTGTAGAAGTGATGTTACATGAACATTGTTGTAAAAGTGATGTTACATGAGCATTGTTGTAAAAGTGACATTACATGAACATTGTTGTAAAAGTGATGTTACATGAGCATTGTTGTAAAAGTGATGTTACGTGAACATTGTTGTAACAGTGATGTTACATGAAAATCGCTGTAAAAGTAACGTTACATGAACATTGATGTAAAAGTAACGTTACATGAACATTGATGTAAAAGTGACGTGACATGAACATTGTTGTAAAAGTGATGTTACATGAACATCGCTGTAAAAGTGACGTTACATGAACATTGATGTAAAAGTGAGGTTACATGAACATCGCTGTAAAAGTGACATTACATGAATATTGATGTGAAAGTGACTTTACATTAACATTGTTGTAAAAGTGATGTTACATGAACATTGATGTAAAAGTGATGTTACATGAACATCGCTGTAAAAGTAACGTTACATGAACATTGATGTAAAAGTAACGTTACATGAACATTGATGTAAAAGTGACGTGACATGAACATTGTTGTAAAAGTGATGTTACATGAACATCGCTGTAAAAGTGACGTTACATGAACATTGTTGTAAAAGTGACGTGACATGAACAACAATGCTCTGGATGATTAGAAATTACTGTATATTATGGGTACCAAATCCTTTGGTACATTCAGTAAATTTTAACATTTATGTTTACTTCTAATTTGTAATGTATGCTTGATTCTAGAAAAATCACATATGAATGATATTCAGCAGTTGTAAATATTTCCTTATAAGTGTATATAATGTCTGCCATGCTATGGAAATGTTTATTAAAGTCATCATTATATAAGCCATTAGGTAATTGTAGGTTGTTGCCAATCATCTGGCTATGATGACGTAACAATGGCAGTGATATTTTACCTGAAGCAAGTTTAGTAAAGTGCTGATTGTCATTTTGGAGACATTTCGATTTTTCACTTTTTTCAGTGGGAAAAATTGAATCACAAAAATTAGATTCCTGGAATATTTAATGATTATTCCTTTTATCATTCATATGTCCATTAACTGTTAAAAGTAGTGTAAGAAGGTTTATCAAGGTATATTTATTCACAAAATTAAATATCCATGAAATAGTTTGTTGTTTTTTAGATATCACCAGAATTGAAACACATGAAAATATATGATTGTATTGTACTTAACAATACAAGGTTCTGGTAGATGGTGTGATGTATGATTGGTAGAGGGTGTCTGTGGTTCAGCCTTAATTACCATTGATAGGAAGAATGGGACTTTTGTACTACGGTTTATATTTGTATGACATTTCTCCTCTGAACCTACCAGAGATTTGTCTGACAATAAATACCAAAAACGACATAACAATTCCAACATTGTGACAGTACACTGAGAAAATGGCTATTTCATTTAATGAATTACAGTTTGTAATAAACAAATTATTTTAGTAAAAAATGAATTAGGATGTATATGAAACAGCTAAGAGTATAATAGCATAGAAAGTGAAAATAAAATCATTTCATTAACATGCAGTGAAATGCTTGTTTGCCAAGTTCTGTCATTTATATTAGCTATAGATGCTTTATCAAGATTGTTTAATACATAAATGTTGCTGTAAATATAAGTGATATTCGCGGCGTCAAATTTTGTATCAGAAAATTAAATCAAGTAAATGGTAGTCAGGGACATGTGTGCAATTTGCCAACTTTGCTGACAAACAAAGTAACAATTGGTTTATACATGATTGTCCTGATAAACTTTCTCAATATACTTATCCCTATATCCATGCTTTCTGTCTCCAGTGAGTTGCTTCCAGAGGACCATTCCAAGAGGCTTTCGTTTGAGGTTTGGGACTGGGACCGGACCTCAAGAAACGATTTCATGGGCTCATTGTCATTTGGGGTTTCTGAGTTGATGAAGGAACCTATTGATGGCTGGTACAAGTTACTGAGCCAGGAAGAGGGAGAGTTTTATGGCATTCCTGTCACGGATGATGTTGTCAACGACATGATAGAGATTAACAAAAAAATGGAGGTGAGATGAAACATCATGGTGTTCAGAGTATTCAGGAAATCTGTTTTCAGATTAATTTCATGTACTGTAGCATTTACACTTTAAACAAAACACTTTATAGGTTCTTCTTAACATCATGTATAATTTGAGGTATTGTGCCCAATTTAGTTTTAAAAAGACATCTATGACATTCTGTTTCAGTAATGTAGGATTTTTGCAATGCATTTGTGTACCAGCCATTCTAGTCTTATGCCTTTTGGCATAATACCTCCACATGTGTGGATGCCTGAATCAGTATTGCCAACTACTCAAGAGTGAAATATCAGGTCATGAACAGCTAAAACAATGGTGAAAAGGTCAAAACTGTAAAGGTCGTGTGCATAACAACCCCTTTTGTATCTCATTCTATATTTGGTTTTCGCTAAAATAGGGAATATAAACATGTACAAAAATAAATAAACCATTTTAAATCATTGATTATAAACAGTATATCTTTATTTGTTTGATGTTATTTCCTTATTTGGATCATTGTGTCTTTCACTGGTTGATGACCCTAATGACCTTATATATGTTGACGGACCGTTAAGAATGTAATGATAACAATAATGATAACATAACTTTATTATACGTGGCAGCTTTGGCTGTTAGTAACACTGTGAATGGTTTATTATACCCAAACATATTATTGTCTTGATTCTTAACACCCCTTCCTAAATTTGGATTACATGTATCATGCTCTTAAAAAGTAGAAGTATTGTGCATCTTTTTTAAGAAGACATCTGAGACTGTTACAGCATGTAAGGAACTTATCAAATGTAGCACAATGTGTTATGCTATACCTGGCTCTAATCACATTTTGAAAATAAGCTCTAAAATTCTTGTCAAAAAAGCTCCAAAATTTAGATAGTGATTATGGGTACTTCTGACGGAAAATGTTTAAGATGTTTTATTAATATTGTCCCGAGTCTGCGATGACCAGCTAACATTACATGGGCTGCTGTTTTCTCACAAGAACATGGTTAGCAACATTTTTATAAACTACATACTGATGCACACTTCAATATATCTTAATATGTTGTAATAAAGACTCCTATAGGCTGGATAAATTCAAATTTTTCAAAATGTTTTTTACATGAACTTCGATGTATCTTGCTTCTATGCTTTGCTGATTTCAGCAGCCTCTGGCAGCGATTGCTTACAATAAGAAATATCCGTCTTCAAAACAAATTTAACTAACAATTAAATCATTGACATAAGATTATTTAAACTGAAAACAACCCATCTTTCATGCAAGAAAAGTCTCTCTATCCCCTCCTCATAATACCATGTCTAGAACTTTATAGGAGTAAATCTAGAGGTGTTCCAAAGCAAGCCATCTTTCATGCAAGAAAAGTCTCTCTATCCCCTCCTCATAATACCATGTCTAGAACTTTATAGGAGTAAATCTAGAGGTGTTCCAAAGCAAGCCATCTTTCATGCAAGAAAAGTCTCTCTATCCCCTCCTCATAATACCATGTCTAGAACTTTATAGGAGTAAATCTAGAGGTGTTCCAAAGCAAGCCATCTTTCATACAAGAAAAGTCTCTCTATCCCCTCCTCATAATACCATGTCTAGAACTTTATAGGAGTAAATCTAGAGGTGTTCCAAAGCACGCCATCTTAATAAAAAAACGTGGGTTGTTTGATAACCTGACAAGTCTAAATATTGTGTTTACATGGGGAAATCGGGTGAATTGGCAATACTGCAGCATGACTTACTGCTAAACATTCCAATGGTGTCTTTTAATCAAAAGGCCACCTCAGTTTAATATTACAATATCAACACTAGCACCTTCTCCAGACCAGCCCTGATGTGCTGCAGTCAGCATTTGGTCTGGGTTTTTATGTTTTTTCCTCATACATCAAATCACTGAGTGAAAAACTTGTGGAATACACAGACAAGGACAGTCCTAATATGGCTGGTGATGTATTTCTCATTTGTATAATAGACACAGACATGCGATGTGGGATTTTGGTAAGATCGTACTTAAGGTTGGTGCTCGTCTCATCCCATGACACTGTCATGTTTTCTGTCAAATACCCAACAAAAAATCAAAAGAAGGTAATTTGCAGTTTGCTGCTGCTGAGATGGGGAAGTGGCTGTCAGTATGATGGAGAACCACGACCAAGTCTCGATCTGGTGACAGCATTGGGAGTCTAATTGTAAAGATAAGCCTTTCTGTGGTCACTAAATATAACAGCCTTTCGTCGTATTACGTAGCATCAATCATAAACGCCCACATTAGTGCTAGATTACGGTAAGTGTATAGCCATTAGCCTCAGGATCAGTCGGCTGCTACACAAAATTACACGCCCAGTGTTGTCCAACAGTGAAAAGTAAAAGTAAGGATTCAATCAAAAATCCATCAACTTTGATTACTTGATGGTCATTTTGAATATTGGATGTACTGTTTATTTAGTGTAGGAAATCAAATAACATCTGAAGTACAAAGATCGACCATTAGACTCTGACAGCGCGCACACACATACACACTCACACTTACATCTTATATAGGGTTGTAGCAGTGGCCAGGATGGTTCGTATTCTTGACATATTGTCGACAGAATTTGTATCAGCATAGAGGTTGATACACCATTTTGTACTTTTAAAAAAATCAGAACACTGATAAAAAAACAGCATACATTGTTTGTTTTGATTCCCAAGTATTTCTGGTTTTGGGTTAGTATTGTAGTAGATTTCACTCCTCAATGAGTCTGTAATATGGACCATTTTCTTACTGTTAATTGTGGTAATGAAGTAATGGGTTTTGGCACACATTTTGACATTGTGTGACATTCTCACACAAAACATGACTTATCTGCAGCACTCTCTCAAAAGATGTTAATACCATGAGAAAAGAATATTACCTAAGAAGGAAATCAATCCTCATGTCAGACCTTTAACCACACATACTGCCTTTGTGATATAGTGAAGATTTTTTCTGTCTCAGTTTTACCAATCCTAGCTTGCTGCATCTAGATTCACCATATACCAAGGGCAATTTCATTTCAAACTTTACATTTCATACTCTTGACAGTTATGAATTATGTTTTCGTCCCATTATGTCTATTTTCCCTCTTTAGTGATAATTTCAGAGTCAAATACATTCTTTAGAAAATATTTATATGACTGAATTAAGTCTGCGGCTGTCTGTACTTTTGCCTGCTCGTAAATGATGATAATGTCAGAGTGTTCATGCGGTGGTGTCCCACCTCACTTGGAGTTTCTGTCTGCATTTCCAATGTCAATACATTTCAGGCTACAAAATTGTCTCTGGGTTCCATATTCAAGTAAAATTATGTAATCATTCTTGATACTTTACATGTTCAATGTCTTGAACTTTCTCTACAGATAATTGTATGTCCTGATTTTTCTTGAATTGAATTGGCAAGTCGAAGTGACACTTGACATGAAAGCAGAGTATGCTTTGTGACAAACCAATCCATTTTCAAATTTTACAAGTTTGATATTTTCAAGAGTAGATCGTAATGGTGGAAACCAATTCCTATGATAGTCTATTGGTAAACTATTATGCACATTGAAAGATATACAAACCCTGAAACAAAATCTATTGAAGTTTTCCATAACAAACATACTGCCTCAGAAACAGGATAGTTTGGTAAATCTAAATGGCACATGCAGGATCCCATAAAACTATTATGAAATACCTAATATAATTTTACAAATCATGGTGGTCATTTTATCATTCTACTCTTGTTAAATATGAACGCCCTGGAGTCATCAGCAAACTTAAATCGGTATAGATATACAAAAGTAATAATACGGACGCTATCTGTAATTCAATTTGTGTAGCCTGATGTGCTTGAAAGTTTGGGTTTAGATAAAATTACTGAACATTGATACATTTGTTTGAACTAAACAAGCAGTATAATGATTTGAGGGTAATACTTGAAAGGAAGACGATTTACTGTTGTTCCATATACCATAACATGTTTAATTCTGCTGAATCATCCTTTCTTGTAAACCAATTTAATGAAGCAGCATTGTTTTTCAGGAATATTTCTAAAATTCAGAATTAGCCTCAGAAAAGAACAGGTTTAATATGTCATGGTGGCTACAATTGCTTTTGCTAAAGAAATTTCAACAGTAAATTTATGTCATATCGGTGTAATGGTTGCCAGCGCTGAAACCTTAAAGAAATAGCATAACAAAACAAAGCTTGCTCGGTTTGTAAGTTAATTAGGAAATGTTAGGGTTATAGAAATCTTCCATATACACATTTATTTCCATTTTCAAATGAATTTAGTACATTGTATATATATAAACACTATCAGCATGAATTGTGGTCAAAAACCTTTTCCATGCAATATTGGAAACCTTTATAATAATGAAACATCAGCTGACATTTGACAGTAATATCATTCATTTTCATTCAGTAAATGCCAGAGATGAAATTTTCTCTGGAACAAATTTTTCTCAATAACCAAAAGGCGTCATGATAACAGGCCTGTAGCATGCAGGATAAATGGCTATCAATGTTGTTCAAATGAATTACCTTCATGTATTCTAATGGTCACAATTTCTTCTCAGTAACTAAGACGCCTTAGAGGGTTCTAATATTGGCCTTGCAGCATATGTGGTTAAAGTTAAATGTTATTGAAATTAATGACTTTGACCCTCTTTGAAGGTCATAGTTAACATTTTCAAATGACTGCTTCTTAATACAAATTCTTATGAGACTTTTTACACATAATCAGTCCCTAAAGTATTTATACATTCACATTGATGTTTCATTTCTATTGTGCTTTCTCTTGTCCCCTCATGATCTCCTGTTTTGATTTGTTTTCACCTGTGAAGAAAACTTTTGGAAGTGACACTTTTCTCTCAAAGGTGACTTGGTCTACATTTCAGTTTTAATTATTTTGTTTAGACCTATTGCTCAAAAGTTCAATTTTAACCAAACTTGTATATAGTCGGATCACAATGTAGGTACTTCAATACAATCATTACTTTAAAGATAACTTCCAGACAGTATGGTCCAGCACTCTGCTCTGTAAATTAGGGATGCTGAGAAGTTGGACATAAAAGTTTTGTATTTTTCATTATGTACAAGTGTTATTCCAATTAAAACAGTTACATTGTAGTATGAACAACAATAGATTACATGAATTATATGTTTTGGTGTATTTTGGGCAAAAAACTTAAAAGAGACATGAATTGTTGTGTGTTTCTTTAATTAATTGGGACAGGTGAACATGTAAGCATAATACTTTGTTTATATATTTATGATGTTTAATTGGACCAATGACATATAGATATTTAATAAAGCTTAAAATTTTTTTTGTCTTTTTTTGATAGAAACCAATATTACAAAAAGATGTCTCACCCCATGTGGATATTTCCAAAAACATGAGCAAGCATGACACAGTACGCCAGACAGATTTCAACTTCCTTACTGTGCTAGGCAAGGGCAGTTTTGGCAAGGTAAGTAATGATAACAAATACATATCCTTGGGAAGGGAACAACATCAATATTGATTCCTTGATTTGTAGGGAAGGGAACATTTACTGAAAAAATTATTTTTTGTTTCATATACTTTCTTTGATGTTGTAAGGATGGGATTGGATGACAAGATGTATTCCTGGATGTTGTGTTTAAGAAACTGTAACTGAAGCTGGGGAGAAAATCTTTTACTTCCAAGGTGTTCTAGGGAGGATATTTTTGGCAATGCCTTGTTTTTCATAAGAAGGGCACTTTTGGTTATAGAGTTTTAGCAATGTTTATAGTGATACTACCTCAAAGGTTTTTAACAAATACTGCAAAATGAAGGCTACGTTTGGCTATATTATCCATCATCTCCTGATGAAGGCTACGTTTGGCAATATTGTCCATCATCACCAGATGAAGGCTACGTTTGGCTATATTGTCCATCATCACCAGATGAAGGCTACGTTTGGCTATATTGTCCATCATCACCAGATGAAGGGTATGTGTGGCTATATTACCTATCATCTGATGAAGGCTACGTTTGGCTATATTATCCATCATCACCAGATGAAGGGTACATGTGGCTATATTGTCCATCACCACCAGATGAAGGGTACATGTGGCTATATTGTCCATCATCACCAGATGAAGGGTACATGTGGCTATATTGTCCATCATCACCAGATGAAGGGTACATGTGGCTATATTGTCCATCATCACCAGATGAAGGGTATGTGTGGCTATATTGTCCATCATCACCAGATGAAGGGTATGTGTGGCTATATTGTCCATCATCACCAGATGAAGGGTACATGTGGCTATATTGTCCATCATCACCAGATGAAGGGTATGTGTGGCTATATTGTCCATCATCACCAGATGAAGGAAGGCTATATTGTCCATCATCACCAGATGAAGGGTACATGTGGCTATATTGTCCATCATCACCAGATGAAGGGTACATGTGGCTATATTGTCCATCATCACCAGATGAAGGGTATGTGTGGCTATATTGTCCATCATCACCAGATGAAGGGTACATGTGGCTATATTGTCCATCATCACCAGATGAAGGGTACATGTGGCTATATTGTCCATCATCACCAGATGAAGGCTACGTTTGGCTATATTATCCATCATCACCAGATGAAGGGTACATGTGGCTATATTGTCCATCATCACCAGATGAAGGCTACGTTTGGCTATATTATCCATCATCACCAGATGAAGGGTACATGTGGCTATATTGTCCATCATCACCAGGTGAAGGGTATGTGTGGCTATATTGTCCATCATCACCAGATGAAGGGTACATGTGGCTATATTGTCCATCATCACCAGATGAAGGGTACATGTGGCTATATTGTCCATCATCACCAGATGAAGGGTACATGTGGCTATATTGTCCATCATCACCAGATGAAGGGTACATGTGGCTATATTGTCCATCATCACCAGATGAAGGGTACATGTGGCTATATTGTCCATCATCACCAGATGAAGGGTACATGTGGCTATATTGTCCATCATCACCAGATGAAGGGTACATGTGGCTATATTGTCCATCATCACCAGATGAAGGGTATGTGTGGCTATATTATCCATCATCACCAGATGAAGGGTATGTGTGGCTATATTGTCCATCATCACCAGATGAAGGGTACATGTGGCTATATTGTCCATCATCACCAGATGAAGGGTACATGTGGCTATATTGTCCATCATCACCAGATGAAGGGTACATGTGGCTATATTGTCCATCATCACCAGATGAAGGGTACGTGTGGCTATATTATCCATCATCACCAGATGAAGGGTATGTGTGGCTATATTGTCCATCATCACCAGATGAAGGGTACATGTGGCTATATTGTCCATCATCACCAGATGAAGGGTACATGTGGCTATATTGTCCATCATCACCAGATGAAGGGTACGTGTGGCTATATTGTCCATCATCACCAGATGAAGGGTACATGTGGCTATATTGTCCATCATCACCAGATGAAGGGTACGTGTGGCTATATTATCCATCATCACCAGATGAAGGGTATGTGTGGCTATATTGTCCATCATCACCAGATGAAGGGTACATGTGGCTATATTGTCCATCATCACCAGATGAAGGGTACATGTGGCTATATTGTCCATCATCACCAGATGAAGGGTACATGTGGCTATATTGTCCATCATCACCAGATGAAGGGTACATGTGGCTATATTGTCCATCATCACCAGATGAAGGGTACATGTGGCTATATTATCCATCATCACCAGATGAAGGGTACATGTGGCTATATTGTCCATCATCACCAGATGAAGGCTACGTTTGGCTATATTGTCCATCATCACCAGATGAAGGGTACGTGTGGCTTTATTGTCCATCATCACCAGATGAAGGCTACGTTTGGCTATATTGTCCATCATCACCAGATGAAGGGTACATGTGGCTATATTGTCCATTATCACCAGATGAAGGGTACATGTGGCTATATTGTCCATCATCACCAGATGAAGGGTACATGTGGCTATATTGTCCATCATCACCAGATGAAGGCTACGTTTGGCTATATTGTCCATCATCACCAGATGAAGGCTACGTTTGGCTATATTGTCCATCATCACCAGATGAAGGGTATGTGTGGCTATATTGTCCATCATCACCAGATGAAGGCTACGTTTGGCTATATTGTCCATCATCACCAGATGAAGGGTACATGTGGCTATATTGTCCATCATCACCAGATGAAGGGTACATGTGGCTATATTGTCCATCATCACCAGATGAAGGCTACGTTTGGCTATATTGTCCATCATCACCAGATGAAGGCTACGTTTGGCTATATTGTCCATCATCACCAGATGAAGGGTACGTTTGGCTATATTATCGATCATCTCCTGATGAAGGGTACTTTGATAATGGCATCCTTAATTAGGGAGCATCATCAAGATGCAAATGTCCTATAGTCATCAACTTGTCTGTCAGTCCATCCGTCTGTCTGTTTTTGCTTTCCGCACAGTAGTTCTGTTCATATTTACAAGAGTTATTGGACTTTGAATTCCAAACACTTAACAATATTATATCATTCTGCTAAATGACTTTCATGTTGTATTTGGTTTTCCACCAAACTTGTGTGTTGTCTCCTATACAGGAGACCTTAGGTGGGTTCTGTTCCAACTCACCATGTTGGTTCCAATATTGATCGTGTTTGGTTCCTGTTTGGTTCCCATATTGATCCTGTTTGGAAGGGAGACATTGATCATTCTTAAGTCATCCAAATGTGGATATATCATAGCAATCATAAAAAGATGTCTGTGGACTGTGTGGACTTGATATGTTTGTATTAATGTATTACCACAACCAGAACATAACACTTCTACTTGGTTTGTATTGAGAAACATGATGCTGTTGATAAATAGAATTTATGACAGAAATGACAAGTTTTACTTCATTGTAAATTAGACCCATCTCATTGAAATATCACAATAAACCTTAAACACATTTTTTTAAGTTATCATGAAAGGAGTCTTATATTTTGATATGATACTCAACCCTATAATTATTTCAAAAATAATATTCAAGCATAGGCGAAACTGTCTGTGTGATATCTTATAGGCAGGGCCCTCCCTCAACATTGGTCCAGTTGTCTGGAGATTTGGACATTCCAGGTAACAAATCTCCAAGAAAGTCTATTGAATGGTAAATTTAACAATACCTTACATAATTTTGGCAAAATTCCTTATATATGGTGTTAAAAAGATGGTATGGCAAGATGCAGTGCTGTTTTTGTTCCATTGAGAAAATGAAGCCCTGTTTAGCCTGGAGAAAATGTCTGGTGAGGGTTGACACACTGTTGTCTGATAATGCTTTGTCTTGTTTCAACCTTAGCAGAGATAGATCAAAGAATTTTAGAGTGTACATGACAAATGTCAACATGGGTTCAGAGGCTGTGGCAAGTCTGACATGTTAACATTACCAGTGTCTGTATGAAATTGATTTTAATGTGAGTGTAGTGTGTTAATAACTCATCCATATGAGTGATTGATATGACTGCAGCTTCCTTTATATTCTTTACACTGTGGTTATCTCATACTTCTGGTTTCATAGATGTTTCCATAGCTGGTCGTTGAAATAGTAAAATTATAGGGATGGGAAATAAGACTTTATGGTTTCTATATTAACAGCAAAAATTCTGAAGGTCTTTTGACTCAAGATATACTGCATCTTAAACCTAAAGGCAAGCCAACATACTCATTTTCTTAAAGAATTTTGAAAAGATGTGTTTATATTGAACTTTATATAAAGTAATACTTTGAGGTAATCTAAGGCAAAGACATGGGTACTTTTTATGATCTGTTTTTTCTCTTTTATTATACTTGTGATTTAGACTTTAGTTTTGGAAATATCCAGGATAAAGTGTCAAATTAAGCTTGTATGTTGAAAGTCAGCTGAGATGTTGGCAGAGTTGTGTTGAATTTATCAATATTTGCTGAGTTTTTGTTATATTGTTGGACTGTAACGGACATACAAATGTAATAAATTAGTTAGTTATAAGCAATGGTATTGTACAACTATACATTGGCTGTAGTCAGACCATTGAGATATGCTAAGTTAGTGCTGATTAATAAAGAAAATGTAGCTGTTGTGAAAATATTTCTTCACTTATTTCTCAGACCAAATATGATTAGATTCACAATACCATAAAGATACATGTAACAAAAGTTTAGACATCCTGTTTTATTTTACAGGTAGTTTTAGCAGAAAGGAAAGGAACAGATGAACTATATGCTGTAAAAATTCTGAAGAAAGATGTCATCATTCAAGACGATGATGTGGAATGTACAATGATAGAAAAACGAGTCCTTGCACTTCCGAATAAACCACCATTCCTAGTACAACTACACTCCTGTTTCCAAACAATGGTAGGCAACATGAGGTTATTGGTAACTGTTGGAATTTGTTATGTTGTATATTGCAGTAGAGATCAAAGTTCTTATTACGGGTACTAGTCTTTAGAACATTTTACCAAAAATTATTATTTTCATCTCACCTTGCACAACGGGCCAAGTGAGCTTATGTTGTGGTGCAGCATCCGTTGTCTGTCCAACATCAACTTTTTACTTTAAACAACTTCTTCTCAAGAAGGGAAAGGCCAAGGGTAATGATATTGGGCCGTTTGCACACTTAGTAAAAGGAGTACCAAGATTGTTCAAATGAATGACCTCAACCCACTTATAATAATAATAATAATAATAATCATAGACTTTATTTCAGGTCGATAACACTTTGAGTCAAAGACTCTTCTTACAAGCAGTCGACAGTAAAATGTACAGTATTTACAACATTAAATTACATTGTATTATTAAAAGGTTATAACATCACATATAGAGTAAATGTATCACAGTGAACATAATGATAGTTTTAATTTGGATCATTAATTAAAAGTAGTGCACTACATAAAGCTCATGATGCATATATATTGGAATTAAAACACATATTCAAGTGTCCAATATACATATATGTCAATGTGACAAATAATAAAATTTAACCGACTATACGCTAATATAGCATATATTAAAATTGATTGGTTGTAGCTAAAAAGATGGACATTTAATTCTAAACTAAAAGTTACTGGACAGTCATATTACTAAAACCTTACAAGGCCACTGGAAAGTAGTTAGAATCATAACTGAGATAGATTTAAAAAGTGTTTTTTGCATTCCACCTTGAAAGTTTTTAATGTCCCACTTCCAGTCACAGTAACTGGTAAACTGTTCCAGAGTAAAGGACCATTGTATATAAATGAACTTTTAAATTTTTCAGTTTTGTTTTGAGGTAATACATATTTACCTGAAGTTGCTGACCTAGTTTTCTTGTTATGGACATTGGAGACCAGGGTATTACAATTTAGATAGTTTGGACATAGTTTGTTGATAACTTTATACATCAGTATACACTCATTATACTTCACCCTGTTGCTGAAAGGTAACCATTTAAGTTTTAAAAATGGTTCATCTCCAGAGACAATGTAGTCAGCATCTAAAATTATGCGGAGTATTCGTTTTTGCATTCTTTCAAGTTTTTTCAGGTATGTTTGAGAACAATGCCCCCAAACGTTAGAACAATAATCAAAGTATGGTAAAATGAAACAGTTAAAAAACGTGATTCTTGAAGATACTGGTAAAAATTGTTTAATTCTACACAGTTGGAATATTTTGAAATTTACTTTTTTGATTACTTCTTGGGCTTGTTTATCCCAGGTAAGTGTATCATGTATGCACACGCCTAGTAATTTTTCGTTTTTCACATTTTCTAATTTTGAATCACCAAACTCGTCACATAATATACACAGTTCATTTGACACTCTCTGTTTTCTCTGTTTGGTACCTGTCAACATTACTTTTGTTTTTTCTGTATTAATAACCATTTTGATTGATTCACACCAACTTTTTACATTAGAAAAATCAGATTGCAGACAAGACTCAATAACATCAATATTTTTGTCTGCTTTTTGCATTGATGTGTCATCTGCATACATGAAAATTTCACACTGATTTGAGTAAAGAGGCATATCATTTACGTACAATAAAAACATCAATGGTCCAATTATTGAACCTTGGGGTACACCGGTTGTTACTTCATTTGGATTACTTAAGCAAGTCTTAAAAGAAACACTCTGTAGTCGTTGTGATAGGTAAGATGTAAAAAAGAGGTCACAGGGGTCAAATGTAGAAAAATCTTGAAAGAACTTGAAAAAGCCCAGGATACTGATATTTGGCCTGTTGAATACTGGGATAAAGAGCTACCAAGTTTATTTAAATGAATTACCTTGACCCACTTTCAAGGGCACAGAGGTCAAATGTGTTAAAAATTTCAAACAACTTCTCATATTGATGTTGGGCCTCTGTCCAAATGAAGAATCTTGGGCAACTTTCACAGGAGTCAGATGTTTTACAAACAATTTCTTCTCAATAATGAAAAGACCTAGGGTACTGATATTAAGTCTGTGGCATGCATGGATAAAGGACTACCAAAGAAGGCATGATATGTAGTTGGAATGTTCCTAGGATGAAGCCCGAAAAAGTATGCGAAAAGAAATGACCTTGACCTGTATTCAAGATCACAGGGTTGAAAAATATGTTAAAACCTTTAAACAAATTTTTCTCATGACTTAAAATGCCTAGAGGCATGATACTTTATTGGTTAAACTAGAGGGGGCTAACATATAAGATAATGGGAAATGAAATATTTGAAGTTGTGAGGAAACAAAGGAACAAATGATTTGACCTTACTAAGGATATGGTGTATAAGTTACAATGAATAAAGCAGGTTTGGTATTGATCTTGTCATGGTTTTCAATTAAAATATGGCTTGGTTTAATCCTATTCAAGATTGTATAACAGACTACACAAGCCTGATAAAGATAGGTCCTGCACTTGCTTTTCTATCTAAAAAGGTCAAACAGCTTATCAACACGTCGCTGTGTCTAGTTTTTCTTCATCTTCAAAGGCAGTCAGATTTATGTATATTATAATTATAACGAGATCAATTCTGTGGAAAGTTAATCAAACAATATTGTGTACGAAGGGGATGACAGTCATAACTGACAGCATTTGTATGTATGGAGATGTCTGTGGTATGGCTGTGCTGTTATGTAAATGTGGGAGAGCGACAGGCATATATCTGTGTGGCTTTTATACGCAAATATAGAAGGTTGGATGTCGATGTGGTTATGAGATGTCTATACAGTGTCAATGATGTAAGTCTGATAAGGAAGAAGATCAATCACAACTCAGTTTGCTTGAGGTCACATCTGTGGTACTCCAGTGTCTTTTTCTATACTTTTGAGAATATGGTCCTAATGAAATAAAGAGCTGTTTGTGTAGATAGAATAAAGTAAAATATTGAAGTAAATTATGAATTATACCTGTTTGAATATATAACCCTGGATAAACAGATAAAAGAAGTATTATTAAGGTACAATAGCAGCATATCAGTGAATAATAAACACTGTATTGCTGAAACTTTTGTGAAAATTCTAACCTGTTTAGTCCACAGGGAAAAGAATGTGCGACTAAATCCTAGCAAATTGCCATAAGGTCCAGACTATTAGACAACTCACTTGTAGCTATGACAGAAAGATATAAAATGCCATCATGGTAATGTGTTTTGAAGGGTAAATGCTAGTGACTTCCTTCAACAAGCTATGAGAATTGATTTGTGGAATTTCAGCATTTTCTAGTATAGCATCCATTGAGCAAAGCCTCCTTTGAAATTTCTAGTGAGTGGAAATGCAACAGTTGTGATATACAAATATGTATTAAATAGTGCTATTATATAGGATATAGAGGATAATGGTTACATATCTAATGAGTATGACAAAAAATACCTATATTTTTCACGACTGGAAAGTAAAGTATAGAGATATTTAGTCTTACGAGTGAAATATATCTATTTATAGGGAATTTTTTAATGCCCATTCATGAGCTCAGTTTACAATGGATCTTTTGTTTAAATATTTTGTCCAGCAGTGAACTTACCCAGTTTGTAATGAATCTTTTTTAAAAAATCGTGAGATTGGCCAAAACAATATTTAGATGTGCTCCCTGAAGTGACTGAATGCATTTTCCCTCTTTTTCATAGAGTTTTCGCCTTTTTTTTTATAAACAAAGAGAACACAATTTTATTCAGCTTCGGATTTTGAGAAATAGCTGTTATCAGAGCATACAGTTGACTTGGAATTTGGTTCACACCTTCGTTGAATGTTACCATTTAACATAAAATGGGTCTTTTTTCCTTGGTTTTTTTTTTTTTTTTTGTTGTTTTTTCTTTCTTAATTGTGTTGCCATGGTTTTCATCAGATTGATAAATTCCTACCTGGTATATATACTGGCCAAAACATAATAAGTTTGTTTCATCAAAACTGGCCAAGATATAAAAAAAAATTTCAAATTGATAAATTCCTTTGTAAATACCAAAAATGTAACAAAATTTCTTTTATCAGATTGATAAATTCCTTTGTAAATACCAAAAATGTAACAAAATTTCTTTTATCAAATTGATAAATTCCTTTGTAAATACCAAAAATGTAACAAAATTTCTTTTATCAGATTGATAAATTCCTTTGTAAATACCAAAAATGTAACAAAATTTCTTTTATCAGATTGATAAATTCTGTTTTTCCACAGACAAAAATGTAATAAATTAGCAATGATAAGCAATACAAATGACTTACGTGATAGCTTCAGTATTATTCCAGTTGGCTTTCTTTACATAATCATATGTCATTTTAAGTAATAGAAAAATAACTGGGGAGGGGGAAAAAAATTAATCAATGTTAGAAAACTAACTTTCCCTTGAAGTTCGAATGCATCTCACCCTTTCAACTTGCATTATTATCTCATCCTAAACAAAATCAATTCATTTTATCAGTCTGTCTGTTTATCAGATGGACCATTTCCCTTCCTCACCTCAATTGTATCATTCAACAATCTTTGCTTTCTCATCAACAGACAGAGTAGAGGCCGAGATCCACTCATCATTGTCATGCAAGATCTTTTTTTTAATAAATAATCTACATTTAAATTAAGTGTTGGCAAGTGCATGTGATGCATATTGATTTAGAGGTCAGAGGTTGTTGGTTAAAAGGTCAGTTTTCCAGAATTGTATCTTCTCAATATGCCTCTAGTTTGTCTCAAGAGAGTTAAGCCAATCTTCTGAGGCAGTTTTGTGAATCTATAAGTGAATTTTCTACATCTTAAATTCCAAGAAAGACTTATTGTAACTCTCAAACTGCCTTATTTGATTGGTTTCTAGTCACATGACCCTTGAAGTATGTGTTCATGTGACAGCAGACAACAATGGATATTGTCTGTTGTTTATTACATTCCTAATGTTGTAATGTGGAGCATTGCAGTAAGCTGTAAAAACTAAAACTCAAACACTCAGAATTTGGCTGTGTAATGTTACAAGTGATTAGACAGTTTCAAGACAGCATTTATTGACATTGTACATATCAAATGAAATAAGAAATGTCTATAATATTCAAAGTCATCACCATTTTATCTACAATTCTTTCCGTTTAATAGGATCGTCTGTATTTTGTGATGGAGTATGTAAATGGAGGTGACCTTATGTATAGAATTCAACAAGAAGGAAAGTTCAAGGAGCCTATTGCAGTGTAAGTGTGTATAGTTGAATGGTATTAAAGACTTGGTCAAGTTCACCTGCAACATTCACCGATCCTGTCTCTTTCAATTACATTTATTTTTATTCTTTAAAAAACCAGATCTGAATCTCTCTACTTCATTACAAAATAAGTGAAGGTCACAAAGGTCAAATGTCGGAACAACTTCTAAGAATAAATCTTGTGTATTGTTATATTTGACTTTAACAATGCTATTGTAACAGGCTGTTCAGTTTGTTCAAATTATGTGAGCAAATAAGGCATTCAAGAACTTCTTTTAAAAGTCTATCGAACCTTGAGTAAGTTTTCCATCCTTTACCTTGTTGGATTGAATGACCGTTAAATGTTCTGAAACACATAGGGTTCGACTTTGTTACTTTTTAATGATTTGTAAGATGTAGGGTAATATGTTCGTTGGTTATGACAAGGAAAGACAATGAATTGTGCAAAACTGACTTATTTCTTGGCCACTGGAATCTGATAAAAACATAAACTCAAGTAACTTCCCTAAAGAGGCAATAATGCTGAAGCTTATTTGAAATTTGCCAATTGTTAGCTGTGATAAAACGTTATCAAATTTATGAAAATGAAAGACATTGACCTAATTTCAATGTCACAGAGGTCTATGGTCCTGTAGAGTCTAGATAATGGTAATCATTGACCTGATGGATCACTGTGTAATGTAATCAAAAAACTAATTTCCGAGGTCATTGTTACATTTATAACATTGATTGGATGCAAATTGAGATGGAGGTCTCGGTAACTACCTGTTACAGTGTAATTAGGACCTAAGAGTGTTGGAAGGCGAGGTTGATTATCTTATTCATGTAGTGCTTAATTTGTTTAGTGAACAATAAACACATATAGTTGTTTGATTTGTATTTTCTCTCTCCATAGGTTCTATGCAGCAGAAATTGCTATTGGACTGTTCTACTTACACAAGCAAGGCATAATCTACAGGTAATGAACTTAGTAAATATATTGGCTCCTTACGCAAGCAAGGCATAATCTACAGGTAATGAATTTAGTAAATATATTGGCTACTTACACAAGCAAGGCATAATCTACAGGTAATGAACTATGTACATATATTGGCCAGAGCAATTTAGTCATCTCTATCTATAATTAATATTTAATTACTATGTATCTGAACAGACAACTGATGTTGTACCTGTTAGACCAACAGACAACTGATGTTGTACCTGTTAAACCAACAGACAACTGATGTTGTACCTGTTAGACCAACAGACAACTGATGTTGTACCTGTTAAACCAACAGGCAACTGATGTTGTACCTGTTAAACCAACAGACAACTGATGTTGTACCTGTTAGACCAACAGAAACTGATGTTGTACCTGTTAAACCAACAGCCAACTGATGTTTTACCTTTAAATCCAGTAGACAACTGATGTTGTACCTCTTAGGCATACAAACAGCTGACAAAAACAGTGATTTTTTCTTTCTGTTACAGGGATCTTAAGCTAGACAATGTCATGTTAGATGCCGATGGACACATAAAAATTGCAGATTTCGGAATGTGCAAAGAAAATATTTTGGGAGACAAAAACACTCGAACATTCTGTGGCACACCTGATTACATTGCCCCAGAAGTAAGTCCACAAAGGCTGTTGATAATTATACAAGAGACTTTCTGCCAGTCAACAAAATATTGGAAATTCTCATTATAAGCATAATTCAACAGAAGATTTATAAAAGTTCTTAGTGAGTAACTTCAAAGAGCTTTAGAAAATGTGTTTTATGTCAACCGAGACAAAGTCTCATGCTGACCTATTGCAATACCCTTTTGTCTGGTGTAGTTCACCATTCAACTTCTGTGGTCTGTCATCTGTTATGCATTCATTAACTTTTTACATTTATTAGTTTCTCTGGAAAACCTGACCTGATTTCAATGAAACTTGGCAGAAATCTTCTATGACCAAAAGTTAACAAAAGTGTTAATTATATGGTTCCCTGCCCCAGGGGCCTGAAGGGCAGGACCAAAAAAGGGTCAAATTTATTGAAATTTCAGAAATCTCCTTCTCAATACCCAATTTTTTTACTATTTTAGTAATTTTATTTTTGTTTATATAGAAAAATAACATTTTTGAGCATAATTTGCTTATTTTTTTGTGAATGTATCAACCTTGGTTTGAATTCTTAGTATAGGATGACAATTTTATGTTTATGCTCATATTGATCCTAGCTGACCGCACGGGGCTGATGGGTGGGGCCAAAAATGGTCAAATTTACTGAAATTTCAAAACTCTTCTTCTAAATACCACCTCACGGATGGAAAGGTTTTATGGTGCTTTACCAAAATGGTAAATTTCATGACCACAGTGTCTCACATTGCCCCAGAGGAGGGGGTAAATCATAGTACAGGAAAATTGCAATTTTTAACATAAATTTCAAAATTATTCTTCTCAATAACCAAAAATGGTAGAATCAAATACTCTTTATGGATGGAAGGTTTTTAAATTGTTTTACCCTGGGTGACCCCCCCCCCCTCCCCAGGCCCCTGGGCCTCTTAATGATTTTTTTTCTTTTTTAAAGAAATAGAAATTAAATGTTGTCTGTTCTTGTGTTTACAGATAGTTTTATATCAGCCCTATGGTAAATCTGTAGACTGGTGGGCTTATGGAGTGCTGCTGTATGAAATGTTAGCAGGACAGGTAAGTGGCTTTGTCATAGATATAAAAGCTGGGATAGATAAAAGACCTTGACCTGGATTTGAAATAAAGGTCAGTTAGACAGAGTAGGACAGATAAGTGACCTTGTCTTGGATTTGAAGTATTTGATAGATAAATGACTTAGTTAAGGAAGTCAGTCAGACTGAAAAGGATAGAAAATGTTAGGCTGTCATTGTTTCTATGTGGTAGCTATAATGGCGTCAGTTGCAATGTACTATTTACAATGTCATAATTATAACTAAATATCATTTAATATCATCTGAAGTGGAGGTTTTGATATTATGTTGCAAAAAAAATCCAAATATAAAATTTTCAGGTGTAAACATCAGTGAATCAAAATCTGACATCAGAAATGTCATCCTTTGAAGTAAATATCCAAATATGGCATCATAAATGAAGTCTGACAGTAGGCAATCTTGCTTGATCTATTAGGGATTTATTTTATGTCAAGAATCTGACCACAAGGTTTACTGGTTGTAGCCTCCATTTGATGGTGAAGACGAAGAAGAGCTCTTCACATCAATCACAGATCACAATGTATCCTACCCCAAGTCTATGTCCAAGGAGGCTGTGTCCCTCTGCAAGGCAGTAAGTACTGAATGTAACATTTAACTTTTCTCTATCCAAAGAGAGTTCTCCATCAAACTGATAGCATCTTCCACCTCTGTGTGATGCAGACAGAGATCTGTCGACAGGTTGGGTTCAGAACTTAAAAGTTTAAAGGCTCATGCTAAATTTTTAACATCTTATCTCAAAAGAGTTTTCTCTGTCTACATCATAAAGAGGTAATTGATTATTTTCTCCCACACTTTGGATTGGATTGTTTTAAATTGAATGTTGTTTTATTTACATAAAACGTGGTGGCATCATAAATGGCCCTTGAAATGTTTGTCAAAATCTATATTATCCATATGACTTTTCCCTTGAAAACATAGGAACACACGTATGAAGTTTAGGTTAAAGTTCGCACTTAACATCCAGTTGTAACTCTTTTACTTACATCTGATACAAAATGTCTGTGTCCTTGACAACTGTAAGTTCATACATTTATAATAATTTGTCTACAGCTACTGACAAAGAACCCTTCCAAGCGTCTCGGCTGTGGGCCAAATGGTGAACGAGACATCCAAGACCACTCTTTCTTCAAGAGGGTCGTGTGGGATAAGATCCAGAGTAGGAATGTACAGCCCCCTTACAAGCCAAAGATTGTGAGTAACATTGTTCTATCTGTATATTGTATAGCCACATACCATCGTCATTGACTCCACCTCATCAGAAAAAAAACATACAGAATATTTCTAAACATTTCACATTTTCTGTCATCATCACAAGATGTGTGGATTTATAATTCCGACCTCCCAAAGCCCCTAGGCCTCCTACTACATTCAATCTTTACCCTGAGTTCTGGTTAGGCCCAGACCATTGAAGTAGCAGTAACAATCAACCATGACTAGAACTGGCTGTGTGTGATACTGCCCAACATTACTCCTCCTTACATCAAGTTACATGGCTACTGGACACTGAACTAGCCTTACTCTTAAACACTTTACCCAATATTACACTAACAGCAGTTTGGTTTGTATGTTTGGTCTTTTCATTGGATTACAAGCCAGCCAATCACATTACATGGTTTGGAATGTCTGTTTGATGGATGAATTCTGCAAGCTGAGGTTTTATCTCCCATCCTATGATTTCTTCAGGTGGTGGTTTGATGATGAATTATAAAACATGTTATATTGTTTGCAAAATCTAAATTCGCTTTTTTTTTGTTTAAAAAAAAAGAGAAAGAGAAAGAAAACTATATGTTCAAGAAGACCATATGGCATGGACATATCTATAGTAGTATGGGGCATTGTTAGATGGCAAGCATTTCAAGACAACCCACAAATGACTTGCATGCCGTAGAAAAAGATATTTACTATACTGTAAGCTTTAAAAAAGATGTTTGCCCGAGTTACATACCTGGATAAATGGTTGCTGTATTGTGTTAAAGAGTTATGTATGGTACATTAACATCTTGTGGTGAGTTATAATACTGTTTGAACTGCAGGTCTTAAAATCAACAGAATTTCAAAAGTTAATGAAATCATTCAATAAAAACAGTAAAACAAGGAACACTCACTGTTAAAACATCAGTACTTCAAATATATACCATGAATATGTATGAAAATAATACAGTACAATAAGCTTTCAAACTTAAATGAACGAGTTTTGTGTAAGATATATCTTGTACATTGAAGATTATTTTGTTTATCGATAAAAAAAGTATGATAAAACAGAAGTTTTGCTCTGAAATTTTGCCTACTAAATATGATTAACAAAAAAGATCAATGAATGTTCAATATTGTTTGTAATAATCAGAATAATGGTTTCTAAATTATTGATAAAGTTACGTTGATTGATGAATTGATGATCTCTAGTGTGAATGTTAGATGAAAACTTGAGGTGTAGATATGATTTCCAAGTGCCAGCATAAAGCATTGGATGCCTGCTTTATTACATTGAGGGAGTAGTAGACATTAGATGCTGTGTGTGAAGATTAAAACTTTAGCCTGACATTGAAGGGGAAGTAGAATCCTTTTTTTTCCCTTATCTCTGCTTCCTTGGACCTGAATTTCCCTGCCAGGCTACTTGATAGGCATGCTAAGCTTGGACCAATTGTTATATATTTGCTTGCCTTTTTCTTGCACCTGTATGTTGTTTTTGAATGGTCAATATGTATATATATATATAATTTTTATTTCTTGCACTTGTTTATATTTTTTATTGATTTTACTTGACTGGCAGCTTATCCATCTCCGACTAACTTCATGGTACAAATAACATTGTGGCATGTCCGATCCTCTCGTGTAATTAATTTGCATAAAGACCATATAACTGGTCGCCATATATATTTTCATATCATATGGTTCTTAAATTTGGTTCTGATGGTTAAAAAAATTACTTTTTAGCAAATGCCATTAAACAATCATATTTTTTTTTTCTAAGAGAAGAAAGGGGGACATCAGCATCAAGCATTGATAACAGGACATTTTGTTTCAGTAATAAATTATTTTGTCATGGGAACACCTCTGATCAGTTAAAAACAAATCTACAAGGTTTGTGTCACTGCTTTAAAAGATAAGTATTTAGTAGATATAGAGGGAGTTTTGGGGGAGGTGATTGGTACATAGGAATAGAGATTTGGGTTGGCAGTATTTAAAAAATTATGCTAGTGTTTCTTTCATAAGTTATCACAAATTTGTCAGTTCAAAGTGAATTTGACAGGATTAGAAAATTAGCTCCCTATGAGATACTGACTTGGTTTCAAAAGTCTTCTAGCTGTAGGAATCTTAGGAGAAAATTACGGAGTCAGTTCTGTCTATTCACTATTTAGTCACCACTGGGTTTTTTATAGGACCATTAACTTAAATGAGATATTAGATAGGAATACTGATGTAATGGCTGTAGCTGTTGGTTTGTAGTTGTGTGAAGGTTGCTAAAGAGTTAACAAGTATAAAGATTGGCCATGCACAAGCAATTCTACTTTTCAACATATGTAGATTTGTGTAACTCTCAAATAGATTAGGGGGTGTTTGGTTTTATCATCATTTAACAGTCAACAAATAGATCTGGTTTTTTTAAGTTTTAATTATCAAACAGTTGACAACTAGATCTGAGGGTGTTTGGTTTAGATTATTGAACAGTTGACAACTAGATCTGAGGGTGTTTGGTTTTGATTATTAAGCAGTTGACAACTAGATCTGAGGGTGTTTGGTTTAGATTATTAAACAGTTGACAACTAGATCTGAGGGTGTTTGGTTTAGATTATTAAACAGTTGACAACTAGATCTGAGGGTGTTTGGTTAAGGTTATTAAACAGTCGACAACTAGATCTGAGGGTGTTTGGTTTAAGTTATTAAACAGTTGACAACTAGATCTGAGGGTGTTTGGTTAAGGTTATTAAACAGTCGACAACTAGATCTGAGTGTGTTTGGTTAAGGTTATTAAACGGTCGACAACATCATCAGATGGCTGGATATTCAAATCGATCTTCACTCTGTGGTCCTTCTGGTGTTTGTTCTTTCTAGATGGATCTTTCTCAAATTGTATATGTAGGTTCGCCTTTGTCCCTAGTTTTGGCTGTTTGATGTTGGTACTGATAAAAAAAAAGAACTGGCCGAAAGGCAGCCATCTTGGATTTTTTCACTGAAGTTTGTTATTGCTATATCTTAGTAAGAGATGGATCTCTCTCAAATTTCATGTGTAGGTTGTCCTTGGTCTCTAGTTGTGCCCATATTATTTTGGGACTGATCAGAAAAACAAAATGGCCGAAAGGCAGCCACCTTTGACTTCGATTTTGAAAGTTTGTTATTGCTATTTCTTAAGAACTGCTGTACAGATCTTTCTCAAATATCATGTATAGGTTCCTTTTGGTCTCTAGTTGTGCCAAATTGATTTTGGGACTGATCAGGAAAAACAAAATGGCCCACAAGCAGCCATCTTGGATTTTATTTCAGAAAGATTGTTATCACTATTTCTTGAGAATTACTCAATAGATCTTTTGCAAATTTCATGTATAGGTTCTTTTAGGTCCCTAGATATGCCTATTTGAGTTAGGTGCTGATCAGAAAAACAAAATGGCCAACAGGCAGCCTTCTTGGATTTTACCTAGTAAATATTGTTATTGTTTTTTCTTTAGAAGTACTGAATGAATATCTCAAAAATTTGATATGTATGTTCCCTTTGGTCTGTCTTTCTGCTCATTTGAGTTTGGGACTGATGAGAAGAAACAAAATGGCTTCCAGGTGGCCATTTTGGATTTAGCAGGTAAAGATTATCTTTGCTATTTCTGCAAAGGAATGTTCAAATGTCTTGTCAGTAAGAGCAAAAACAGAGAAAAGAAAGGAAAAGATCCAACTTTCAAAGAGCATATAAAGACCAAACATTGGTGGGCACCAAGATTACTGTGGGATCTCTTGTTTAACTGTTGATAGGCCTGGGAGTGTTTTATTTGGGTTACTAAACTTTTGACAACTAGATCTGAGGGTGTTTGGTGTTGATTATTAAGCAGTTGACAACTAGATCTTAGGGTGTTTGGTGTTGATTATTAAGCAGTGGACAACTAGATCTGAGGGTGTTAGGTTTTGATTATCAAACTTTTGACAACTAGATCTGAGGGTGTTTGGTGTTGATTATCAAACAGTTGACAACTAGATCTGAGGGTGTTTGGTGTTGATTATTAAGCAGTTGACAACTAGATCTGAGGGCATTTGGTGTTGTTTATTAAGCAGTTGACAACTAGATCTGAGGGTGTTTGGTGTTGATTATGAAGCAGTGGAAAACTAGATCTGAGGGTGTTTGGTGTTGATTATTAAGCAGTTGACAACTAGATCTGAGGGCATTTGGTGTTGTTTATTAAGCAGTTGACAACTAGATCTGAGGGTGTTTGGTGTTGATTATGAAGCAGTGGAAAACTAGATCTGAGGGTGTTTGGTGTTGATTATTAAGCAGTTGACAACTAGATCTGAGGGTGTTTGGTGTTGATTATTAAGCAGTTGACAACTAGATCTGAGGGTGTTAGGTTTTGATTATTAAGCAGTTGACAACTAGATCTGAGGGTGTTAGGTTTTGATTATCAAACTTTTGACAAATAGATCTGAGGGCATTTGGTGTAGTTTATTAAGCAGTTGACAACTAGATCTGAGGGTGTTTGGTGTTGATTATTAAGCAGTTGACAACTAGATCTGAGGGTGTTAGGTTTTGATTATTAAGCAGTTGACAACTAGATCTGAGGGTGTTTAGTGTTGATTGTCAAGCAGTGGACAACTAGATCTGAGGGCATTTGGTGTTGATTATTAAGCAGTTGACAACTAGATCTGAGGGTGTTTGGTGTTGATTATGAAGCAGTTGACAACTAGATCTGAGGGTGTTAGGTTTTGATTATCAAACTTTTGACAACTAGATCTGAGGGTGTAAGTTTTGATTATTAAGCAGTGGACAACTAGATCTGAGGGTGTTTGGTGTTGATTATGAAGCAGTGGACAACTAGATCTGAGGGTGTTTGGTGTTGATTATTAAGCAGTTGACAACTAGATCTGAGGGCATTTGGTGTTGTTTATTAAGCAGTGGACAACTAGATCTGAGGGTGTTAGGTTTTGATTATCAAACTTTTGACAACTAGATCTGAGGGTGTTTGGTGTTGATTATCAAACTTTTGACAACTAGA